CTTGAAAGCTCTTTCCTGTATTTCGAAAGACTCATTAAAAGATCTGCTAGCGAGGAGGCCTTAACGTTATTCTTAATTAATTAACTGAAAGAAAAATTAATTAAAAGAGAAAAAAATTTATTAAAAAATTAGAAAAACAATTTTATTTAAATGAAATTAAATAAAATATTATTTTTAAAACAATAAAATCTAAAAATTTAAATAGAAAGAAAAATAAGTTTCTAAACATTTAATAGAATTATATAATATTTTTTTTCTTTTCAAAAGAATAAAATAAAAAAATATATACTAAAAATAGAAGGAAAAAAATATCCGCTGGCCGAGGACTGAACTCGGATCTCTCAAAAGCAGTGTTAAGTCCCTATAAGTTTTATCGCAAAAAAACGTTGCTCCACAACAGTTATTAGATGAGAAATATTTTTTATTTCGTCGATAAGAGTTATAACCCAACGCTTCTTTTTTACATTGCGTGATAACTGTTATGCCGGAGAAACATTTTTTCCGTTGCCGATAAGAGTTATTTCCCAACGTTTATTTTTTACGTTGTCTGGTAAACGTTGTAAGATTAGGATATTGATGAAGATGGAGATGGAAAACAAGATAAAGATGATGAAATAAAAGTGGTAGAATGTAAAAATCAACATCGGGCAATAACTGTTATCAAGCAACGTAAACAATAAACATCGGGCAATAACTGTTATCAAGCAATGTAAAAAATAAACGTTACGAAATAGGTGTTATCGGCAACGGAAGAAATATTTCCCGTTTAATAACTGTTATGAAACAACGTTTTCGTTAAATTTCAGAATTTGAGCAACGCTTTCAATTTGCAAATTCGAGATAACAGTTATTTTGGTCCCTGCTCAACAGGCATACGAGTGCTTTGTTAACTTGGCCATTGTGACTTTTTGACCAGCGTGAGCAAAATTTTATATACACATCCCCATTTGGAACATGCTCTCAGTCAAAAGCGGTTTTCACCATTAAAGCTGGCAAGGGTGCTGATTTTATATACATATAAGGCTACCGTGCCAGAATAATGGGGGGGTTAAAAAAAAATTGCATCGATAACTTAAAGCTGTGATACACAATGGCTAGAGGCGTCGCATTATAGGCAAAACACGAGTTTTTTTTCAAAATCGTAGATATTCGCTTAGAAAACAGATAATGGAATGAAAATTGTTTTATCGTGAAGATAAATGATCATACAATATAGGAAAGCTATAGAGAAGTTACAACAGCAATAACTTAACCCTCAAAATACCACTTTTTTTTATTGGATTTTGGCTCCCATTCCACTAGAAAACACTATATTTAATACACCATTAGCACTGTTTCTGAAAGATTTCTCTTTATTTTATCTTAAGACTCGATTCTTGGGACATTGGATGCCGTACCCGAGTGGCCAGATTGGGAAAAGAAAAGCTACCTTTAAACTCTAATAACTCGTAAACTATCAGCTTTCACAAAAAAAATTATATAACAAAAATGGTTATACTGGTCGATATCTTTACGAAAGTGCAGCATTTAAACCATTAATGCAGAGTCTGTCATATATGAAAGGCTTTTTAACCCTTTCAAGGCAGAGGCAAAATGGTTCTCAATATGTTTTCAACGTACTTTTTATTTATTTTTATTTTTGTTTTTAATATTTTTATTTTTTTATTTTATTTTTTTTATTTCTTTTTTATTATTATTATTTTACTATGGAAAAATTTTCTACGATTAATATCTACGTCCACATGAGAAAAAGCATATTGAGAACCTTTTTCCTCTGCCTTGAAAGGGTTAGAAAGCGTTTCATATATGACAGACTCTGCTTTAAAGGGTTAAACGCTGCATTCCATTATCTCTTTTCTAAGCGAAGATCTACGATTTTGAAAAAAAAACTCGTGTTTTGCCTATAGTGCGTGGCCTGTGGGCATTCCTTCATATATGTATGTATGTGCCATTTCTACCGTTATATATTTTTTGTCTACTCGGCTATTCGATGGGGAATTCATGCTTTATTTAAATTTAAAAAATTAAATTACTACACCATTCAAATTATTGTTGCTTTTCCACAATAAATTTTCATTTAAAAAACGGCCTCGAGCTCAATATAAATTGTTGAATATAATTACTACACCATTTTAATTAATTAGTGTGTAGTCCAGTTTTGTTTTGTAGAAGTTTCGTTAGTATACACTTCAGTTTTTACACATTGAATATATCTGCATATTTATATATTTACGCGTATCAATTTACATTTATTTATGTACAAGTCTACAAAATGTTATTAATTATAAAGCGATTTTTAATCTTCGTTGCTTAACACACATTTTTTCAATTACTTCTTATGTTGTAATCGGCACATCATTATGTACCGCTAACATCGTTAAACCATTCAGCCGCTCCTTAATTGTATAAAAAGAAGAGACAAATAAGATAGCATATTCAACAATTGAGTAGTCCACTTGCAAAGGGCGCTATGTAAATTTTTTTTTAGATTTTTAGTTTTTGGTGGGTTTCATGTCCACTAACGAGTGAAAAATTTTTCGATATTCTGAAAAAAAATAGCATGAAATGTTAACTACTCTTGCAAAAGTCGCTATAATACTTATTTATACACTTTCAAATGTCTCCTCTTCGTATGAACATAGAAAACTGCAAAAAAAAACGTGGTAGTTTCGGTGCCTAGTGGAAGAGGTGGCAAAAAAGAACCAAACGAATCTTCCTAGAGGAGAGAACGCGAAAAGCTAAAAAAAGCTAGCTATGTAAAAGTTACTGTTTCAAAACTTGCAATATTAAATTTTTAAATATTAAATTTGCAAATCTACTCTTTCTTTTTGAATTCTTACAGTACGTTGTTTTTGCTATTATCTTCAAATTGCAGAATATCTCGATCTCCCGCGATCACAACTTTTTCAACAATTATATAGAAAAAAAAAAATTATGTGTGTAGGGAACGGAGTTTTAGGACCTAAAAAATCAATAAAAAAAAGCAAAATAATATAACGAAATAGGTAGGAAAAGGCACTAGAAGTCGCAAAAAACGCAAAAGAAGGCACTAAAAAAGACAATAACCGAAAAACAATCAGAAAATACATTTATTTTAGAAATGTTTATTTTACAAGTAAAAAGGGAAAAACTACCAAAAATTTCTACTTTGAGTCTTTGACCAATTGCTCCTTTCGAGTTTTCAACTCACAAAACTTTATTCTCTATAGTTGTAGTTGATGCAAGTGGAATAAGGGCGTTTCATTTCCCTTTACAACTAAAGGCCAGTATGCAGCTCTCAAGAAAACGGACAAGAAACAAGTAAGAAAGTCTAAGTTCGGGCGGAGCGGAACATTAAATACCCGGCGCAAGTATTAAATATGTTTTTTCACCTTTCCGAAACCTTCCGCTAGATGGTAAGCCGGGGTGTATCAATTTTGAGTAAATTAGCGTCCTTCAATTTCGAAATATTGAAGTTTCAAGCATTTCTGAAATTTACCGTTATATGAGAAGCGGCCGTTATTTTAGTCCGATTTCAATAATTTTATCAGGATGAAAAAAGAAATCGATTAAGCCATGTCTGTCTGTCCGTCCGTCTGTCCGTCTGTCCGTCAGTCCGTCTGTCCGTCTGTCCGTGTACACGATAACTCGAGCAAAAATTGAGATATCTCAACGAAATTTGGTATGTAGGTTTCCCTTAATCCAAGGTAGGTTGGTATTGAAAATGGGCGAAATCGGACTTTAACCACGCCCA